TGTGTAAAAGCAGGAGGGTGGAGAGCAGAGCTATGAAATGCTATCTTCTGGACATGACATAGTCACTACACTCAAGAACTAATAGCTGTTGTGGTTCCTGCACAAGATCAAGCCAGTCAAAATTTTGGAATGGATGGGTGAGTGTCTCATGAGACCCCTCACCCTTAGCTGAGAAACTATTGGTAGTTGATAGCTGGTGGGGAAGGAAGGGTAATTTCTCTTTGCCAGTGCAGCCGCTGGTAGGTTGCCCAGGTTCCAGGCTATAGCCCCACACCCAAGCACATATAGGTAGCACTAATCTGACTTGGCAGCTTATTAAAAATGGGGTGGGCATGAGGCTGGAGGGAGACATATTGTGGGTTGCAGGTCCAGTTGAAGAAGGGAGTAGATATGATCAAAGTATATTGACTATACGTATAAAATTCCTGAATAATAAATACATTTTTTTTCAAAGCAAGGGACAGGGGCATGCCCTCTCTAAAAATCCTGGCTACATCATTTGTATCATGACCATGGTCACTGAGCACATCTATTTCTTGCCATAACCTGTGAAGACCTTACCAGACATCATCACATAGCATTCCAGGATGTTCCAGAACCCCAGACCTCATGGGTAGTCTGCAGCCCCCAGTGTGCCTGCAGAACTCTGAACCCCAACACTGCAGCATCCAGTCTCCTGTGGTTCTGCCCCCAAGGAGAATACCATGCCAGGTGCCTAAGGGACCTTTGAAACCTACTTACCCAACTAATACTGACTGTCTTTTGGCTTTGTGGCTGGCAATTCCTGCCTGGGACACATCCTTTCTTTGGTCTGGCCCTCTAACCTGATGTTTTCACTTTATTCTCTGACTCAATGAAGTCAGAAATCATGACACTCTCTATACCTAGATTCCCATGCCCTCACTTGCTGTGATGATTTGAGTTGGGATTTCAGGTCATTTTGTCCCCATATACAGGGAGAAAGGTCCCTTCCCTCCTGAGACAATACAGTGATTTGGACATGTCCTACAAATAACAAGAACATATGTAGGCTTAGGCATAGCCTAAAGTGCTATGCCTAACAAGAACATATATAGTGCATAGGCTGCTATATGTGCTGATGATAAATGCCCCATTGCCCCAAACGGGCTTTCCACACCAGGGTCCATGATATAGCCTAGCTGACTGCCAGCGTGGGTTCAGGACATGCTGTAGACTCTGGGCATCATTGCTTTTCTGCCTCCAGTTCCTTCATCTTGGGAACCTAGAAGGTGACGAGGCTATGAATCCATCTTGGTAAGGTTAGATCCTGGTTTGCCAGAGTCCTTCATCATTCAAACCCCAGCATTAGTGTGATGCCAGGAACAAGAAAAGGAGTGACACTCCTGGAGGTAGCTTCATTGCCTAGGACTAAAAAGAAGTGCTTGCAAATATGGGAGAGATAGACATACTGCCATAGGGTCTACACTCACAAGGGACCATCCAGGTCTGAGGAGCTCATGAATGGAGGGGTTTGAAATGCTCATCACTTAAGAAGGACCTTCATCAAACTCCTTACTTGCCAAAGGAGACAACTCAGATAAGTAAGGACTTGCCACCCCAAGGTGGAGACACAGGTGCCTTTCTCTGTCCCCAAAGAGAGAAGTTTCTCCATGCTCACAGTCATCCACATTTCCTGATGCTGTATGCTATAGATTCTTTTCTATATTACTCTTTGAGAAAGTATGGCAGATGCCCTACCTACAGGTGCAAACTGACAGCCACAACCACTAAATTGCAAGTCTGACCTCCTCTGATATCTCTTATATTACCATTTCTTTATTTAATTTGTGTGTGTGTGTGTGTGTGTGTGTGCGCGCGCGCGTGTGTGTGTGTGTGTGTGTGTGTGTGTGTGTGTGTGTGTGTGTGTGTATCTGAACTCGCCTATGAGTACATGAAGTTAAGAGGTCAATGTCAGTCATATTCTTCTACTATACTCCACCTTATTTTTTTGAGACAAGGTCTCTCACTTACTCTGGAGCTCACTGTGTTTTGGCCCAGGGATCCTCCAGTCGTCGACTCCCAGTGCTGGGATCACAGACAGCTTATTTAACAAGAGTGCAGAATATCAAACTCAGGTCCTCATGCTTAAAATGGCAAGCACTTTAATAACTGAGCCATCTCCCTGGGTCCCATCAAGAGTTTTTTTTTTGTTTTTTTTTGTTTTTTCAAGACAGGGTTTCTCTGTGTAGCTTTGGAGCCTATCCTGGCACTCGCTCTGGAGACTAGGCTGGCCTCGAACTCACAGAGATCCGCCTGCCTCTGCCTCCCGAGTGCTGGGATTAAAGGTGTGCGCCACCAACACCCGGCTGCGTTCATTTTTTATAGAGCAAGTTCTGTTTGCTCTGCCAGATCAAAGAGGAATTTCATTTCTTTTTAGATTTATTTAATTTTTGTGTATGACCTTTAATCCCAGCACTTGGGAGGTTTGGATATATTATTATTATTACTGGTGTTTTGAGACAAGTTTTCTTTGTTTAGTCCTGATGTCCTGGAACTTGCTCTGTAGACCAGGCTGGCCTTGAACTCACAAGAGATCTGCCTGCCTCTGCCTCCTGAGTGCTGGGATTAAAGGTGCATGCCATCACTGCCCAGCTCCAAATTTCATTTCTTTACTTCATGGACTCTACTCTTATTCTCCTAATCACTATGGGAATCCAATAGTGAGTTAACCTGATTTTAACAGACTGTGTGTTTCTTAGCAGACCCTTGCATTGTTCCTATCTTGCTTTCTTTATTCTGCTTCTTTACATCTACTTTTAACCCAGTAGTCAAGTGCTTATTTTTCTTTCCCTTTGTTGGCTTCTGTTTCTTATACTGAGTGCAGCGCTCAGTATAAGTGCAGCTTATACTTATACAGTGCTCGAGTGCACAGCCCCAAAAGAGCAAAATAAAAATAGTCAATTGGTCGATAATAGACTGGGAAAGTTTTAAGGACAGAAAGAGCGGCAGGGGCCAATGGACAACGGATGATGAGGAGGCCTGGGAGAAGATTTTTCAGGGACCTGGGGTGGCTTTCAAACAATTCAGGCCGCTCTTCCTGGTTGGAGGAGACAAAGAGGGGACAGGAAGTCTTGGCCAGTGCCCAACCTGAGGCTACTGTTCACTAAAAATCTAGTCTTCTGGACATACTGTATGTGCGAGGCCAGGCACCTCCTGACAAGGAACTTCCTCCAGCAGGCTGTTTACAGAACTAGGCCCTTGATGCCAGAGCATTAAATCCAGCTTCTGCTACCAGGTCTCCCCCACAGCACTGCATGAGTGCTCCCTTCTGTTTAGGCTTTTTGCTGCTGGTATTGATTGCTGCTTTTATTGGCAGACTGTGTACCAAAGTAAAAATAAACACGGGAGTTTGTACAGGGAGACAGTGAAGGGCTTTCTGTGTCTCCAGGGCCTGGGGAAGCCTTGCTGGGAGATTCAGGGGTCAGCCCAGTCCCTGCTGTTTGGTGTAGCTCTACAACTAAGATAAGGATGTTTGTCATCCCGTGTCCTGCCCTTTACAGGGCGGACAGCTGTGGGTGGATAGCTGTGGTCATCCTCACACACTCAAGTCATAGCTGCTGAATGACATCCAAGTAGGGTTGTCCAGGAAGCAGTGATCTCAAGGCTAGAACAGCAACCACACCTCTCAGTTAGTTTCCACATGCAGCTGCCTCAGCTGGCCAGTCACCACAATTTGGGGTTAAGGATATGGTTCTGAAAGAGCAGGCAGCAACAACTATTACTACATAGGCAAAGCCTATTCGCAGAGAGTTGTCCTGTCATGTTCAATGTGTAAGTCAATTGTTCCCACATACTTAGTCAGGTGGTGCTGTGTTATCATTATTTCTGCCATCAAAATAAAAACTAAAACTATAACTAAAAAATACAACCAATCCAGGCATGGTGGTGCACGCCTGTCAACCTGCACTTGGGAGGTAAAGGGAGGAGGATCAGGAGTCAGTCTCAGATTTTGAGAGTTCAAAGCTAGATCTATAATTGGGCTACATAAGACCTTGTTTCAAACAACAACAAGAAGAAAACCAAACAACTAATCATTCTTACTGTCGTTTTCACACATGAAATAGGATTAACGGTGGAGATCTGAAAGGTCTAGGATTTGTGCCTAGGTTCTTACAGATGCAAAATACTTTGTGTTGCCAGAAAGATTCAATAACTATTCTGTATGTGTTTATTTGCTTATTGCCTTTTTTCCGGTTTTAGGCTGTAAACTAAGGTGGGCAAGGATTTTGGCTCGTTCGTTGCTGTATCGTCAGAGCCTAAAACGATTGTCTGGCACACATTGGGTATTCAATGAAAACCCATCCCTAAATAGAAATGACAGGTGGTAAACCTAAGTTAGAGCCTGGCCCCTTTAGGCGCCTTTAGAGGTTGGGTAGAGAGCCCTTAGGAAGAGCGAGTGGTGGGCTGTGGGGTGCGGGGAGTTCGGGGGCAGTGACAACCTACTTCTGACCTCGGGTCCAGATCAGCAAAAACCCCACAAGTGAGGAGGTTGTAATGCCAGCCCGAGTTCTCAGGTTCCCTTTTCTTTTTCTAAATCAGGAAATGCATTTTCCTCCCTGTGCTCGCAGCG